GGCGGCGGGCGGGGCGGGGGCGGACAACGTGGCGTTCGCGGCGCACTTCGCGCTGCACGGGTACGCGCGCTGCCTGGACATCCTGCTGGCGGCGGACCGCCACGCCGAGGCCGCCTTCTTCGCGCGGTGAGCGTTACTCGCATTATATTTCTTTGCTAATAGACATTCTAAAATAATTGAAGGTACATCGCGCCATGCGAGAGTTAATAGAGTACTCGTGCCGAGTGTTGAGGAGGCGAGTGTTGAGGTGGCGAGCGCACGTTGCAGGGCGTACGTGCCGTCGTGGCTGGAGGAGGCGGTGCAGAAGTGGCGCGAGGCGGGGCGCGACCGCGGCACCAAGACCTGGAAGCTGCTGGCCGACCCGCAGCGCTACTCCAACCTCTTCCCGGATTACCTGGTGAGTGAGGCCGCCTGTGCGGTCACGCAGCGAGGGAAGAGCCCCGGCTGAGACGCGTTCTGATCGTGTCGCAGACGTCCCTGGAGCTGGAGTACTACCAGCGAAGGTTCCTGCGCGAGCAGAGCCCGCCCGCCGCTCCGCTCGGCAACCGCGGCCGCCGGCTGGCAGAGGAGCGCGCCCGCATGGAGGCCGAGGGCAAATTCAAGATGCCCGACTTCACTAAGCTAAGGTAACGTTTCCGGCTCCCCGCCTTCCCACCTTCCCACCTTCCCACCTTCCCGCCTGCGCCAACTGATGAGGCCGTCGGCTGATGGAAATGTGTTATTGAAGGAACAGCCGCGGCGGCGAGGAGCCCGCGCTGGAGCGGAAAATAAGGGAGCGGAGGGAGTCCATCGAGCTCGCGCAGGAGCTCGACGAGTGCGAGCTCGACACCTTCCTGCTGGACGCTGAGGCGGAGGCGGAGGCGGAGGCCGACAACGACAAGTGAGTGCCTCCTCTCTACATTGCACTGAAGAGAGGATCATTCCTGGCACAAAATAAACGTTCACATTTACGTTATTATTAGTTTGGAGAGGGGTTTTTTCGGGACACGTTCGATTGGTATGCCCTCAGTGGTTTCTCTACTTTTACCGAGCTAGTATTAAAATTGGCCGGAACTGGAATAATGTAAACTGGATACAATGTTTTTATATCCCTTTTTAGATACCTCCAAGAGGTCAGCGACGTCCTCGGCGAAGAAGTAACGAACATACATTAACGTTGAAGTGGTGCGGCGCCGCGACCTCGCGTCTGCCTTCTTTTTCCAATTCTTTATGAATTCGATGAGAAATTATCACCTTCGAGACGAAACTGTCACTTATATGTGCCTTTGAAGAATATCAGACGTTCTCCTACATTATTGATTTAGTTTTTAAATATAAGTTACTATTAAATATTATTTATGTAATTCAGAATGTAAATGTAACCTTTATTAATTAAATAATACTTACTTTAGATTGATTTCGATTCAAGATTCACATTTAAGTTACATACAAAAGCGAGTGTCGAAGATTCGCCGCGTGGAGCGCCACAGGCTCGAGGTGGCGGCGACCGTCTCTCTGCTGTCCACCTGTCACCGTCACTGTCACCGTCACTGTCATTGTCACCGTCACTGTCACCGTCATTGTCACTGTCACCGTCACCGTCACTGTCATTGTCACCGTCACCGTCACTGGCTCAATGCACAGTGTGTCCTCTCGTCTGCTGCAGCGGTAGACTGATTCTTGTCGGGCCTGATATAGTCAAGCAAGGATCTTATGACAGTTTTACATATCCCCTTTCAACCACACTCATTTTACGTACTAAAAAGTAGCCTCTGAGATTATGACCTTTCCTTAGGCTTTAGTACTTTAGTCGTGAAAGCGCGAAAAAGATAAAATTGCATTGGTACATTTATAAAATTAGTAAGGAACTTTTGCAACTCATAACCTAAATGTCCTTAATAATTAAACTAACGTACCTTCACTAAAACGATATGAGGCCTAATTTAATCCACTTTCCCTTCCCACCCTTTTCTCATAAGGAAAGGGATGGGAAGTGGACTTTCTGGATGAGAGGATGCATGGAAGGGGAAAATGTTTTCATTCTGTGCATCCACTCCGTTGATTAAAGGTCGGCAACGCATATGCAATTGCATATGTCTATGGGCAACGGTCACTTCCCTATTCCAGCGATTTCAGGTGGTCGCTCGCTCGTTTGCCACCTTGTGATATAAAAAAAAATAATTCATTATTATAGATTTAACAATTTAAATATTTATGACAACTGATATAACTTCAAATAAGTAATTTACTTCCTGAATTTTTTGTATTCAACGTGAAATAATTAAGAAATTTTTGCGTACTGATAACCCTGAATTGGCGCGTTCTGTCAAACTGTCAACGTCAGAAAACTGCCATCAGATATATTGTATATTCCAATTTTATCATTTATTATCTACTTATTTATTTACATTTCTCGTTGTTGTCATGTTTATATTTATAAGTTAAGAAATGTGTATAATTGTCCTATATATTTGAAATAATTTACGCACATTTTGTTATTGTGATAGTACGTTTGTAATTTTGATAAAAATCTAACTAAATATATCATACTTTTTTTTTGTAGTGAATAATAAATTTATTTAATATAACAAAAGTGAAGTTTATGTCAAGCAAAAGTTTCTTTTTAAGTAATGTATTTCATATGTAACATATATAATACATAATATATGCAAAAGGAAAATGAATGAGTTAAAAGTGCGCAGAGGCATGACGCATATGTTCTCTTTGGTGTTGGTGATATGCACAATGGTTATATCAGCCTCCACAGATTTCAAGGCATTGAAATGTCCACCGTCACCAGCACAGTGTCAATACGACGTCTCAGTTTTTGATGAACACTTTTACTTTGTAGAAGGTATGTATTGAATTGAATAATGTTATTGACTTTTAAACAGTGTAATAATTATTAAAATGCCTACTTTGGAATTACTTATCAGGAATTTGAAGTTGTTATGTCTTGACTTTGGTATAGCTACCATTGGTACTTTTACTATTTAAGTGGACTTAGTGCATATGCATGCCTTGAGTGAGTGAAGCAACATCATCATAGCTGTATGCAACCCTTCACCATGGGTTACATGCAGGCTTTATTTGCATCTTAAGACTGGTCACTTTATTATTTCAATTGAGTTGCTATTAATTGGGTAACTATTGTCTGGGTGGACCACAAATGTATATTGAAATTTAACCTATTATGGGGTTTTATCCCACTAATGTTTTAATGAATAAAATTCATTATTTTCCAGTTGTGTGGTATCAGCAGTGAGTCACCAACATTGTGACAATTACCTTAAACAATTGTATCAACCTAACTGAGCTTAGTACATTGAGTGCTACGAGAAACAACTGGCAGGGGGTTAAAACATAGCATGGTTATGTTCTGTTACTTAATGTTGTTAGACCATAGTACCTGTAGTTCCAAACTGCCCCTCGCCAGCCATCTGAGGGGACTGCACTTACCACTTGTGAGTGCTTGGCTCAACCTTACTCAATAACAACTGTTTCCTACCCTATGGTAGGACATTTAGTTTGAGACTGCTGACGGCCACACAAAAATGTGTTTATTAAATAAATCTCGATTCTTTTTATTTTCAATTACAGACTAATAATGATATAAGACTAATGCAACAACCAAAAAGAAATATTTCTGACATGTTTTGAGTCTCCCAAAGTTAATCAATTATGTCGCTGAGTTAACTCTATTCTTAATAACTGTTTTTCTGATTCATCCGTCACTGAAATATGTACATTGAAGGCTGATTTTCATTAGTTAGTTTTTTTTATTGTTTCAGATTTGAAATTTGTAATAGTTTATAGAGGAACATATTTATCGTTTAAATGCCCCGAAGGCGTAGGCTTCGAGAGCGAATCGATGCCTCGGTTTTCAAGCGCGGTGCGCGTTCAACTGCTGGTGCTGACGCACTGCGCCGTGCCCGCCGCGTCCTTCGCGAGCGCTCTCGCCGCGCTCAACGTCACCGTGCTCGATAAACTCATCCTGAGGGAACCGCGCGGCGACCTGCGGTCCTTCCATATGACGGGCCTCGGTGTGTCGGCGCTCGAGGTGCGGGCGAAGGAGCGGGTCGCGCTGGAGGAGGAGGCGCTGGGCCAGCTGGGCGCGCTCGCTGAGCTTTGGCTGGTGGGCGTGGCGCTGCCGGAGGCCGCTCTGCTGCGCCTGCCGGCATCGCTGCTGTACCTCCACATCGAGTCCTGCAACATGACCGAGTTCGCGACGCCGGCGCTTCGGAGACTTTCGTCCCTCGTTCACTTGCGACTATATGAAAGGACTTTGACCGTGGCGCCGGATTTGAGCGCCGTTCCGTCTCTGCGATCCGTTTCGTTTATTGCTCCGTTAAACGGCTTGCCCTCGTCGAACACTGTGAAGAATCTTACGTCGCAGAATTGTAATAGTTTGGAGATTCTCGGCGAGTGCGGCGCCCTGTCGCGGCTGGAGGTGAGCGGGGCCGGCGGCGCGCCGGGGGCGGGCTGGCTGGCGCGCTGCCCCGCGCTGGCCGAGCTGGTGCTGAGCGACACGCGGGTGGACGCGCTGCCGGCGGACCTGGTACGCGCGGCGCCGCGGCTGCGTCGGCTGGCGGTGCGCGGCTGCAGGCTGCGTCACCTGCCGCCCGATCTGTTGGCGCATACGCGGGATTTGCAAGAACTCGATTTCTCCAACAATCGACTCGAAACGTTGCCCGAGTGAGTGAGTCGGTATTTACATTACTTTTATCTGTGACGACCCTGACAATATTATTATAATATTTCCAAAACTCATCATGTGCTACTTTTATCCAACTTCAAAAAGGCCTCCTCCTCTTTCCTTCTCGAGTGGTTTTTTTTTAATGATAATGATTAATGCTTCATCTTCTACAAAGTATTACTTAATGAAAGTGTCAGTGGTCAGCTCTGATCCCTGGTGTCTGGTGTCTGGTGTCTGTTGTCCGGTGTCCGGTGTCCGGTGTCCGGTGTCGGGTGTGGGGTGAGCAGGCAGCTGTTGGTGTCCGTGCGCGCGCTGCGCTCGCTGGAGCTGAGCAACAACCGGCTGACGCTCGCCGGCGCCCGGGCCGCGCTCGCGCCCACTTCGCTGCACCGCCTGGTGCTGGACGGCAACCCGCTCGGTGACTTCTGCCAAGCCGGCTCCGACGCGCTCTACCCGGACGGTAACGTATCACAAGTACCACGTACACCTCCGATATCGCGCGAGGCGGATCAAATCCTGGAGGCGAATTCTAATTACAGTAGAACCCCGGTAATACGATTTCCATGGGACCGAGCCAAAACGTATTATGCGGAAATGGGACGTAACACGTATTCTATATTATTAAATTACTTCGTATTTATGTAATCGTTACTTATTTCATATATATACAGGTAGTGAATGATATAGTTATATACGTTACGTACTTTGTCTAATTATTATACGTTATTGAGATAATCACTTATTTTGGTTTAACAGATAAAAGTTCATTATTAGTTACATAATTACATTCTCAATGTATAATAAAAAAAAGTGAACACGTACTTCAGTCTTCGCTTTTTATTTTTTAAATAATGGTATCTTAAATGATTCACCGCTGACAATGCATGGAGGTCTGATAAGATTGTAGTTGTTTCATCTTTGTCTTCATCATCATCATCATCATCACTGAGCCTCCGTGTTATTGGCATTTTCAATGAGATGTCCGACATCGAGGTCTCATCGAGCGTGTGTCAGGCGTGTCGGCGCTGTTCGAGATGCGCGCGCTGCGGACACTGAGCCTAGCCCGCACCGCCCTCACCCGCCTCTGTGCCGACTGGCGCCGCGACATGCGCGCCCTCGCCCGCCTCGACCTGCGCCACAACAACATCTCCGCGCTGCAGGTACACGCGCGCCCACGCGCCCACTCGCCCACACGCCCACACGCCCCCCCGCGCCCTCCGACACTCACTTTGACATGATGCGGTCAGGCGGCCGACCTGCAGTGGAGCCGCAACGTGCCCGCCGAGGTGTTGCTGCAGGGCAACCCGC